GGTAGGTCCTATGAGGAAAGGTTGCGGGACCTGAACCTGCTCAGCCTTCAAAAGAGAAGGCTGAGGGGGAATCTTGTGGCCTGTTATAAAGTGGTTAGGGGGGATCAGCAGGCGCTGGGGGAGTCCCTGTTCCCCCGAGCGCCGCAAGGAGTGACAGGAACAATGGTCACAAGCTGGCGGAGGGAAGGTTTAAGTTGGACATCAGGAGGCGCTATTTCACGGTCAGGGCAGCTAGGGTCTGGAACCAGCTTCCATGTGAGGTGGTGCAGGCTCCCACCCTGGGGGTTTTTTTAAGAGGAGGTTGGATGACCACCTTATTGGGGTCATTTGACCCCAGTGCTCTTTCCTGCCATGGCAGGGGGTCGGACTAGATGATCTGCTCAGGTCCCTTCCGACCCTAGAAACTATGAAACTCAGGAGTTCATGGTACCTGGCCACGTTCTCAGAGCGCTAGACCATGCTTCCCTCCTGAGTTAAGAATATCTGTGTAACATGAGAATAAGGAAGTCAATTCCTCACTGAACAAAGCCTGATGGCCCATTCGTATGTTTTTAATTAAATACAACTAAACTGTACTCAATGCTTATTTATGCCAACATGGGTTATTTTATAATGTTAGACATTGACGCATCCAACTTAATTGAGCTTCATAACACACACACACACACACACACACACACACGCGCGCTCGCGCACCCCATTGTGTTACTTGTAACCAATCAGAGCTTACAAATTCTGTGTCTGTCCACATTCGCAGCCGTTCTACTTCTCCAGATCGCCTATTACGCCTGATATTAATATTATCCATTTCTTGTAGTACAGCTTCAGCAGTACTAAATATATATAATAATAGAAAAAAAGTAATGTTTAAAATAGTGGAACTCAACATTTTACATATATTATAAATAATGTAACACTTAAGTGATAGGTTTATAGTCATTTCAAGAAATATGGATATAATAAAATCTACAGATGAATACAATTATTTAATTCTTCCCTGCAACTCTTTGATTTATCAATTAACTGAACTATAAACGATACTAAAGAAAACCAAAGGAGGATAAACAAGGTAAAGAATATGCATAAGAAAAAAAATATTAATCTTCTGGGCTTGGAATCAAGCATAATATGCATTCAAATATAAAATATGAATTCTCTTCTCAGGTGTGGGAATTATTTTTAAAACTGGGGAGAAAAAAGAACCAAACTGTTCATCTGAGAACTTGAACTTTTTATCTATATAATAAAGCAAAGTAAGCAGTCATGTCTTTCTGGAAATATATGTCTCAGTCTTGATCCAAAGGTCTATCCCTTTCCTCATATAAATGCTAATAAACAGATAAAGATTTTTTTTTAATATACAAAATACATCAAATGAAGCAGATTCATACAGATCCCTGTTATTTCTTAATTTGGCTAACTCTTGCATCCTTTCTTTCACTTGTCTGATTTCATTTAGAGTTAAAAGGACTTTTATCTTCAATACCTAAACTGCAGACAAACTATTGCTACTCCACAAGTAACAGCTGTAATGAAGATAGACTACTCATCTGGAGGATGACCAGATATTAGCCAGACCCAACCACCTGACTCTCACGACTAATTATTGCCAACTCTGTTGAAAGCCATGGGGTACCTTTCCCTTAGAATCCTGCAACTTTTAAAGCTTCCTATGAACACTTTAAAACGGTAAATCTAAGCAGTGAAATCCTAACCAAGCTGAAGCTGATGAAAGTTTTAAAGTGAGTTGAACAGTATAATTTATGAATAATTATAAAAATATTTCTGATGTACAACATAATTGGTCTGGGCTAGTTCAGATGCCCTGTACCAAAATAAATGTACATATAGATTACAGTATCATAATCTTACCAAATTACAGTTCACATGGTAAATTTATTTATTTTTTTTACTATTGTTGATATGGTGGGGGCAAGTATAAGAAGTTGGCTCATACACAACAAAAAAGAATACATAATTTGTAAACTGATGTCAGGTGCTCACCAAGTACACTGAAAAAATACTGTGAAAAATGAAAGATGGAATTCAGCAGAATAGATTTATTGGTAAAAAAGGAATCATACTTAATTATAGAAAATATCTCACATTTAAAACATCTTCCAAATACTAATCCCTGTACTTAGCATCTCAGAGATAACTATTATACCCATCCTACAAGCGGGAAAGCGGAGACAGGGCTTGTTGTCCTGGCAGAGAAAATTACCCACAGCCATTCGTACAGAAATTCAAGTGCTGAGGCCCTGAAGAGTGAAAAGCTTGCACTGCTGAAACTGTGCAGCTGGAGGATGAGGGGACATCAGTATTGTAAGGTCTCTGCTCTCCAGAGGCTCAGCATCCGAATGTTTGTTCAGGCATCACCAGGTAAATTGGGAGGGTTTTGTTTGTTTTTTTACCAAAAGAACAAACCTGGAAAAATTCTCCCAAATTATTTGAACATGTATACACGTATCAGGATACATGACTTGCCTAAGAACAGAGGAAACTAGGAATTTCTGATTCCCAAGCCTGTACCTCCCTTTTTTAATCTACTTTGTATTGTAAATGTCAAAAAGTGACATTAATCCTGTATGCATTACCTTTATACTAACAAAGGGTAAAAACTACAGATTTTATGATTCAGTAACACAAACAAGATCTGCTCAACCTCTAACAGATGATAATGCCGTTTAGCCCTAACTAAAAAATCATGAAATAGTAAAGGAATCAGTATCTTTTGAATGACCAAGATGCTTTATAAAGAATGCAAATTTAGTATCTTCACATACCTGTTTACTAGCTGATCAAATAGCAAACTCTGATTCAAAGTTTCAAATCTGTTTTTCCTGGACCGACAACTTTTTCTGACTTCTATATCTCCGTTTATGCAAGCATGGTCCCCATCTCCCTTTTTTTCCCCTCGAAGGGAATGGCTTTTGAGAGCTAAAAGAAATTTGTATTATCCTGCATTCTGAAATAGTATAACATCATCATAAAAAAACTAAGAGGTTACTCAACAAAGATAAAACCCCCAATGATATTAAGGAGCATAGATGTTTCCCTTTAAATGTGCATCATGGAAGTCACTCTAAAAAACCCCACAGATGTACTTAAGTTTCTCACCATGCTGTTTAACAAGCTACTTATTTACATGAGTTTCCTTAATCTAACTATACATCCTATTGTTATAAATTAGGATTTAAAACACCCAAGATTCCATATTCTAGAGCAGGGATGGGCAATTATTTTGAGTGGAGGGCCGCTCACTGAGTTTTGGCAAGGCATCAAGGGCCGCATGACAGGCAGCCAGGGGCAGATAAATAGTAATTTTCTAAATTTTTTAGGGGCCCCGCAGGTCAGATAGAATGGCCTGGCAGGCCGCATCTGGCCAGCAGGCCACATTTTGCCCATCCCTGTTCTAGAGTTAACTTTATAATCCAAACACATTCTTAGTATAGCTTTAGTTCTTACTCTTTCCTTTAAATAGGTTTTTATCTGACTGACAAAACAGACTTTTGCATAACATATCTGTGGTTGCTATTATGTGTGTGTACAGTGCCAGCACAATGAGCTCCCAAATCTTACTTAGTTCTTAGGTACACCCAAAATAAGTACAGTAATACAACCCCAAAATCCCTGATGGGGCTGAATTTACTTGGAGAGTTAATACACAACTAAAGGAGAGAGAATGTAACAGGGAATAGACAGGATTTCAGGCAGGAAGTGCACTTCATGTCTCCAAAAGAAAGGCACTTTGTGCCTGAAAACTTACCTAACACCTCTCTCAACTATAGTTGGTTCAATAAAAATTGCCAAAAACCTTGCTTCTTGCATATTTTTTGAGCTGTCATGGCTACAACACCACTGTAACCCTACTACAGGAGACAGGGTCATAGAAGATTAATATATTTCTAGTTAAGAAAAGTGAGTTGGAAACTTAGTAAAGTAGAGATACACCAGAAAGCTGATCCACAATGGCAGAAACAGACAAGTGCAGGTATCACAAACAGTAGTAAAGCATTTTGAGGAGCCACAGAAGGCCGGGAATTAAGGAGGGACAAGAAATTGGCCCATTTTAATTTACCTATCTCATAAAAGTAAAGTTCGGGAGCAAGGTTATGGCTAGGGGGTCATAAATAAGATGCATGAACTAAGATGAAAACCAAAATTGTGTTTTAGTGCTTTTTATGCCCAAAGGAAGCATCCAAGATGCCAAAAGAGAACATTTCTGGGTGAAGCCAGGCAGAGAGAGAATAACAGAGTAAAAAATACATACAACATAAAATAATCAACACAAAACGTATTAAGATAATACATGGATGTAAAATAACCAAGAAGGAATATGCTTACATAAGCTACGTCCATTTGGTAACGTTGCACCAGGCTGAGATGTTAACCTAGAAAAAAAAGTTATACACACAAAACGTCAAGCACTCATTTACTAAGGAAATGCTACTTTTGAAACAGAAAAAAAAACATTCATTATTACAGAAAGCATTTAACGTTACATAATAAGGATACTCACTTTTAACATTTGCAAAATATGAAGCTCCTTAGGCCTAAACTCTGAAGAATTTGGTTTAGGACTAAGGCTGACACTTTCACATGTTCATTAGTTTTATACTTATAGCATCTGAGAAATATAGCAGCATTTGTTGCACTTACAGGCTTTACTACTTCGCTTATGCTCTGTTCCAGTGAAGAAACCACTATCAAGATCTAAGACACTGCGACGCCAAAGCAAACCACCTTTACTACTTGACAGAAAACTGAGGGTTTGTCCATGGCCTGAAACTAGTCAAGTCAAGCAAAAGAAAAATGAGGAGTAAAGTTCTTAAAACATAAAATTCAATCCATTTAGCAAATATAACAACTGACCCCCCCGCTTGCAGCACCCACCAGTGGACTGGAGCCCACACAGTGCTGGGTGCGTGGTGAAGACATAAGGGGCCAGGGCCGTTTCTGCCATAAGTCACTAAACCAGGCATGTGCTATCAGATAACCATTTATCTGATATACTTAGAGAAAGCTGAATGGAATTTATTTTTAATATTTACATCCCTAGCTAGGATATGGGCCTTCTCCTGTTACTTGCCTAAGAAATGCATACTACATTTCCATAAAGCAAAACGATCCGATCCATTAAAACCTCAAGATTTTGGCAGATGTTGGACAAAAAAAAGCACACCTAAGTGAAACATTACATAACTTTACATTCATATAGGGTGATTAGGGATGCACCAACAGAGATTTTTGGGGCCGATAGCCTACTTTTAAGGAGGCATATCAGCCAATACCAATCTGATTTCTGATACAGCTACATGAAGCTGTTAAGTCTGTTGTGGTGGAAGGGGAGGGGGACGGAAGAGGTATGGGGGTGGGGTGCAGATCAAGGCCCCTGTGGTGAGGGAGGGCGTGGGGCTGGGGCAGGCACTCCCCGGTTGGGGCAGGACAGGGTGCTGGATGGAGCTGCGGCACATCCAGGAGGCGTGGGGGAGAGGGGTGGCTCCAGCTGCTGCATGCACCCCAGGAGGGTGGGGGGAGTATGTGCCCCCCGGATCTGTGTGGGGCTTGGGTGCGGGCAGGGCAAGCTGCAGCAGCACTGGGAGGGGGCTGCAGGAA